TGATGTGATCTTCAGTAAAGAGTCTCAAATTGAGGAACGAGAGCTAAGACTTGTAACAGAGGTATACATTCTTTTGGCGTAGTTTGGTTTTGTGCCTTGACTCCAAGCTTTTGTCGAGAACTTGTTTCTTTACTGACTCCGATCCTGAAATTGTTTGTTTGATCAGCTGCCCAACTGCTGTGCTGCTGGTTCAAATCTCGTGAACCTCATCTTCCAAGTGACGGATTTGGAGGGTTGTTTGGATACTAGCATCAATCATGATGAAAAATCCGGGTGTTTCCATACACTGAGCATTGAATTTGATTCAAGTAGCGAGGGGAGTGCAGTCAGATATGCCTTTGTCCACGGATCCTGCAAAGTTCCTTCTCTTTCCCTACCAGAGAATGAAGGTGTCTTTCCTTTCAGGGTCGTTCATTCTCGATATCCTGAGTTGCATATGAGCTTAAAGGTAGTTACTAGTAACTGGTGAAATTGGGTATATATTGCAATATGTTTCTACTATGGGTAGCATTTTCAGTTCATGTCTTGTTAACTCACTTTTTCTCATTGATTTTCTTATTTTTCGATTTTCAGATTCAGTTAACATCTTCTCCCACATTTGAAAGAGATGAGATTGGGTATTCCACACCTTATTCAAAAACAACTACACTACCTGAGTCAGGAATCAAAAATACATGGGCTACTCAAAGTTCACAGTTTGGAGTGTTGGCCATTAGGTCATCTTCATTGGCTCCCAGTAGCCAAACTGGCCTGATAAATATGGCAGAGTACGTTGAGGTATGGTCATCAGTGGCAAATATTGACTTTTCTTATTTATACGTTAGTGAAAGCAGAACAATATCTAGAATAATCTAGCTTTTGTATTCCAAGTTCCTCTCAGCAGCATATTTGAAAAAATGTTTCTTTCGTCCTGCAGAGTTTAAAAGAAGAACTCAATATATACAAAGAACGCCAAGTTGAAATAGATGGGCGCCTAAAATGTTTGCAGGCTGAATATGAACATGCTGAGTACGAATTGAGTACACTACAAGGTAACTATTATCTTGATTTGCGATGTTTGATAACTATGATGGGGTTTAAAGCTGCATTATTTTTCTTATTTTTGTTACTGAAACACTATCCCTGTTCACGTGAGTTTTGTCTCAGCTTCTCTGGAACCTCTTGGTGCATCGTTCCCAGAATGCCTATCCACCAAAGCATCAATGATGAAACAAATCGAAGAGAAGTATGATGACACTGCAGCATCGGTTTTCTGTTGCCTGTGCAGAAAGGCTCCGCCTCCACAGTCTTTTACTCTTTCAAATAAAGGAATATTTGGTGTTGTGGCGCTTCTCGGTTCAGTTGCCTCCACCTCCCTTAGCAGGTGCCATCAATTTATAGCCACAATATGTCTAATCATATTAAATAGTGTCTACGCTTAGGGAAAATCTTCAGTTTCTTAAGTTATTTGGTATGACAGGGTTTTGTCAGAATATTTGGGTAAAGACACAATGCTTTCATTGGTGTGCAAATCATCAAAATTTGGACCTAAAAGTGATGAGTATTGTAAGCTTCAATCTGAAGCAGCTAGCCTTGAACGACCTATCACCAATCGGTTTCTTGTTATTTCTATTGACGCAACCAGGTATTTTTGTACTCTTCCTTGTACTTTCGGATTTCTTGTTAAACAATTGCTTAGCCAAATCTTATCAAAACATGCAGACCTTGGAGGAACGGACTTGTGAGGAATGATCCTCAGAAGAGATTAGCCATGGATAACCCTTACCTGCAAAATGGAGATCCTATACCCGGTTTCAAAGGCTATGCTGTGAACATGATAAATTTAGCTTCAGAGATGCTGACTGTACAATCAAACTCTGGTCACGGGCTTAGGGAGACGCTATTCTATGGATTATTTGGAGAGTTGCAGGTATACGAGACCGCAGAGGATCTTGAAGCAGCTCTTCCTCACATCAATGGTGAAGACGCTGTGTCTCTAGATGGTGTGATCGTCAGAGAAAACTGTTTCATATACCCTGGTTGCTGGTACGTGCACTTTCTTGTTATCCTTAAAACTCATTTCAATTGTTAAGTTTGTAACTTTAAAGCTCACAGATTCTTGCTTTCTATTGACATTTGGTGCTATGTCGGTCAGTGCACCGGAAGTTCACTTTCCAATATCCGTAACGGAGAAGCAAGAGAAGGCATTGGTGCAGATGGAAATAACAAGAGACAGAAAAAGAAAAGCTGAAAATATGATGACTGAGGAACATTGTTCGTTGAGTAAGTTGATGAAAAAGGTGCAGAAGACAACGGAGAAATACCAACATTTGACAGCTATGACTGACTCTTAGGTTGATCACTACTTTAAAAAAAGTTCTCTTTTAATGTAGTGCTCTTGTATATAGCAAAGGATTCGGAGCAATTCAGTAATGAAAAAAACGTTCTAGATATTTTGGTAATATAAAAAAGTTTGGTGTTTCACCGAAAATATCAAAACCTCTGTGATATAGAAAAAGTTACATAGAAGATATAGATACTTCAGTAAAATTGAATATCCTAACTATTATAGAAAAAGATTCATGTATATATTGTTGTATCTCCTAAAGTTCTAATATTAATAACACATCATCATCGATCATCGTTCCTCACTATTTTTTTTTTAAACATAGAATTCAGTTTTTGCTTTAAGTGTTCTCCAACACTTTCACATTATTTCTTTTGGCGTGTCTTGGGTAATGGAGCCACTAATAACCCAATAGAAAAAATCATTTTATTAGTAAAAAACACTCATTATAAAATTTGCCGACTCTTCATTAGTCTCACCTCAGCCTCTTCCTCTTCCTATTTTTTCCCAACACTCTCACTTCTTCTTCTTCTTCAAAGTTGTCTCTCTGATTTTTCTCTTCTTAGCGTTTCGTGGGTTACTCAAAACTAAACCAGTCTTGCAAAATCTAAGGTATCAGAAGTTCATTTCACTGCCAAAACCTGCATTCTTTTGTCTGTTTGTTATGTTTTCTTATGTTAAATCAAACGACACAAAACCTAAGACTTGTTCATCTCGAGGTTATAATAAGTAGCGAAGAAGAAGAAGAAGACTCTATATGTATCTTGGCCTACTTTTTTCTGAAATCTTCTTCTTCTGCGTTAAGTGATATATTGTCTTCTTCGTTGCTGCTACTTACAAGCTCTCGTATAATTAGAACTGTTACTCAACTGATACTGCGAGCGGTGCTTTTATTATTTGGCAACTTTAGTCTTCAGATAAGCAAATCAATTCTTGTCTTCTATTTTTGGTGTTTACAGGCACTTATATTAGATGATGTATATGTAGCTTTTAGTTACTTGCATTCTAAGTTACCAAACGATTGTTAACACACCATTTTGTAAAAAAGGAAAATTCAAGAAAAATTGTAGTTTCAGTGTACCTGCGGTACAATGGTGTTTGGTATTTGGTAGCTTATCTTCTGAATCATGTGCGTTGAATTTTCAGATGAGTAAGAAGAGACCGCTTGGGAGAGTACTATTTCTAAGTGATGAAGATGAAGATGGAGATAAGTTTTACAGGCTCAAGGTTCTTTTACCAAACAGCACTAGTGTGACACTCACACTCACTAACCCTGACACTAAAATGTCAATGAAGAGTTTTGTTAATCTTGTGAAAGATGAATATGACAAAACTCGGAAAAATTGTGTCTTGTCCGGTAAGAAGAGGAAGCCGGTTGATTGGAACCTTGCTTCTAAATCTTTTCTCGAGTTCAACGGCGAAAAGATTAAAGATATCGTTCGATTCGAGAAGTTTAAACCCGATTTGATCAATATAATACGTCTTGATGTGAGTTGGTTTCTTTAATCTTTTCATTTTGCTACTTGCTATAGATGTTTTTTAATGTGTTGATTTAGCTAATTATGAATTTTTGTATGTTCTTTGATTTAATATCTCTGGATCAGGATGGGTCTGGAGAAGCTTCTAGTTTGTATGAGGTTAGTTTTATTATATAGTTTTGATATGTATAATTGTCTCCTTAAGCTTAGTTTAGTGATGGTTCTGGTCTTAATTTTTGCAGAACATGTGGGATTTAACACCTGATACTGATTTACTCAAAGAGCTACCACAAACTTATAGCTTTGAGACAGCTCTCGCAGATCTGATTGTAAGTTTCTCAATAAAAATTACCTCTTTAAAGACTTTTGAATGAGTCTTTTATAAGTCTAGTGCAGGAACACTGTAGTTAGGGTAAGGGCTTTTGTAGTAGATTGTAGCTCGTTTGACAGCTCAGCAACTATCTGGTAAGTTCGTTATATGAGAGCTTACGGTTTAACAGGAATTTGGTATTAAGAGATTGGTTCAATAGAAGAGACTCTCGTTAACCGGTAAAATCGGTATCAGAGTTCGTCTATCTCCACCATCAAAGGTGAGATTTTTTCGCGGGAGGAGTTTGGTGCTTTAATCAGAAGAAGATTACGAAACTCAGCACGAGAACTGGAGCAGTTTTAGAAACTCGTTTGTGGGAAGATAGTGCTAAGAAGATGTAATAAGTTGAAGGCATGTGTCAAGATGAAAGAAAGACACCCTCCACGTGCTCGATGAAATCTCTCAAAGACAGATTTTTTAACTAAAGTATAAGCGGTCCTGTGAGAGCCCTTAGGATAGAGTTGGATATGTTGTGGTATAGTCCTGTTTCATGTTGAAATTGAATTTTGGAGGGGAAAGAAACCTGAGAGTGTTCTTTAAGTGCAAATTGTTCTTGAAGATGCAGAAGCAAAGAGTAAATCCTGAGAACAGGAAGGAGAAACATGCTGAATTAGTAGACATCAGGCTGTTGCTCGTTTACGTTGATTTTGTGATCCTTGGTATTTTTAGGAGGATGATAAATTAAGAAGATGACATTTGGAGTTGATAAGTTAAATGAGTCATTTAGAGACACTATGTTTGGAGAATGGTTGAGAACAAGCCAGAGGTGAAGACTTATTCTGTTGGTATTAGCGGCAGTTTTAATGCACTTAGGAGGTACTGACAAGTAGTTGGCAGGGGGGTTAGTTAAGATTTGAGATTCTCTCGTTAATCAAACTCTCTTTATGGTGTAGTTGTTTGGTGAACTGAATAAAAGTTATTTACAGGTTTTGTTTGTTCCACTTACAAGAGTTTGATAAACATTATGAGGATCAGATAATGGACTGTGTTTGAATGTGTTAGTTTTCTGGTTTATGAACTCCAATTTACATGCTGTTATATCACAGGATAATTCTCTGCAAGCTGTGTGGTCTTGTTCGCGCGGAGAACGAAGACTGATTAGGTTTGTTCTTGTCCTAAAAGGTCATATACTTAAATGAGTTTTCTCTTTTGATTTCATATAATTGCTTTTGCAGTGTCGATGTTCTTGGGGATCGGATTTCAATCTTCGATTCTGGTCCTGGAATGGACAGTAGCGAAGCAAATTCTATTGATAAATGGTAAGGTTCTTAAAACATGGATTATATTGATAAAAAGTATTAATTTTACTTCAAAAGCTATAACACAAGTAACTTCATACCGGGAGTTTTATCTTTAAGCAGTCTTCATTTTTTAAAACACTGTGCAGGGGGAAAATAGGGGCTTCATTACATAGGTCTCGCAAATCCAAGGCTGTTGGAGGTGAACCACCATATCTTATGGTACTTAACTCTGCCTCAAATATCTTAGAACAATTTTTTGCTTCCAGTTTATAAATAATCATGAGTCTTTCTACATAACAAGACGTACATATTTGAATTGAACATTAATGATCTCGACAAGACTAATACAGTATTCTATGTGTCAAAATAGAGTATTTCACTAATCTGAAGAAGATTCACTCTTTTTCTATGTAGCCATTCTTTGGGATGTTTGGATATGGAGGTCCTTATGCATGTATGCATTTGGGAAGGTGATAATTCATTATCCATTTACCTATTGATGTTGACGTCAACCAATGATTGTCTGCCTTCCCTGATGCATTTTAACTCTCTTCTATGATTAGGCGTACTTTGGTTTCTTCAAAGACGAAACAGTCTAAGAAAGTATTCACCTTGCAACTCAATCGAGAAGCTTTGATTGACAATCGTTCTGTCTTAGGAAAAAACTGGAAGGTAATAATACGTTCATCTCCCTTTGTTGCTTGTCATAGGTTATGTCATTAATGGGTGGATTTAAATTTTTTGAAAGGCTGATGGTGGAATGAGGGATCCTCAGGAGGAGGAAATGAAATTATCACCTCATGGAAGCTTCACAAAGGTACAAAACATTTTGTATGTTGCATCTTCTTGGGGACGAGTGTTCTTCTACATTCTGAGCCAGTTTGATTTCTTGAATTGATATTTGTTAACTGTTAACTCACTGTTAATCACTTATTCTCTATGCTTTTTTATTTCATCTCCTTTCAGCGATACCTTTTTATTGAATAATTATGCTATACTGATAAGATTGTGCATAAATTAAAGTTTTTTGGTGCTGGTCTAGAATCTTATAACAATCTGTCCGCTTTCTCCTGCTTGACCTTAATCTATGTTTTTCTGTTTTCATGAATCAACGAGTTATGATATTTCATCTGAAACTGCTCTTCTGTTTTATTCCAGATTGAGATATTTAAATCGGAACGTAAGATCCCAGAAATATATCAACTTCAATGCAGACTTAAGGATATATATTTTCCTTACATCCAGGTCTTCATTAGCTAATAGTAATACAATATGTATTGATTCCCTTTATTATAGTGGTTCTTTATCAGAGGTTTTATTTTTTATTTGTCAACCTGTAGTGTGATGAAATCTCTAAAACTGGGAGGACTGAAAGGCCTGTAGAGTTTCAGGTTTGTTTAATTTCCAAAGATGTTGGGGTTTCATATTTTTAGTGCTCTTACTCTTAGATTTAATCTTTTATACTTTCCTTGGTCTTTTTTTCTATATACGTTTTCCAGGTCAATGGAGATGATTTAGCTGAGATAGCAGGTGGAAAGGTTGCCACCACCAACCTGAACTCCAAGGGTCGAGAATTTTGGTTTCAGATTCGATTCGAACACAGTGAAATAACCCAAGGTATCAACCCTTTACAGTTCAGGATGCTTCCTCTCAGTTAAGCGTCTGGCTGCTTTTGCTCCAGCATTTGGTAGCAAACAGCCAGAGCTATTTTCCTGAAAAGATGATTAGATATCTTCAAATAAACATATATTTAGATTGAAATGAAAAGCGTTTATGTCCCTTGTTAAAAAACTACAGTAGTGTGTTTGTGTATATAGAAAAAGATCAGTAACAATTTTTATCGACATTGTTTTGTGTAGCAAAAATGAAAGCTAATGTAACTTACGTGGAGATACTGAAACTAGGGTTCAATAATCGTTTGCTGTAGAACGCTGAAATGTTGGAATCAAAAGTATTCATCTTACCGTTTGGAGTGTGACTATATTTTTCCATCCAGGGTCATTGACATCACAGGAGGCAAACGCTCGCCTTAAGTTTGTTTATCTTCCAATCATACGAGTATGCCTATCCTTTCCAAAGAACCGAATTTGCCCATTAGTTTCCTTCTTGAACTGAATTTTTTTAAGTCTGAACTATGTATGTGACAGGAAAAAAGGAGCATATATAAAGAGAGCATTAATATTATTTTGGAAAGCTTAGGAAAGGAAGGATACAAAGTTTCTGAAAGCTTCAAAACTTTTAGTCGTCTTTCTGTAAGAAGACTTGGTCGTCTACTCCCAGAAGTCTCTTGGGTTAGTCTTCTTTGGTACCATTAGATGGTCTTCCTGGAGTATTTACAGTTCTGTTACCAGACAATGTTTTAACTATTATTTGGCAAATTCTTTTAGTATGTCAAGAATCCTTGCTCAACTTTGTGTAGGCATCAATTCCGTTTATGGAAAAGGGAGACAGAGCCACTACTATGCAGAAAATTTGTCAAAGAGTGATATGCTTTGTTGGTATGATGCCTCACGCATAATCAATTGTATTTGTATCTGTTTCAAATTGGTTTATGTGAGCAAGTTTCGTATGCACTCTTGGTGGTTACAGATTTGGATGCTGGTTTCAGCCCAACGCCCTCAAAAGTGAGCTAACATTAACCTTGATTAGTTAATGTTATAACTTATTATTACAATTTTACTTGATTATTAAACATGCTTTTGCAGACCGATCTTGCAAGTCAAAGCCCCTTCACTTTGGCTCTGAAAAACTTTGGCACTAAATCAAAGGAGAAAGATAACGGTCAGTTTAAAATCCATTTGCAGTCTTGTTTTTGCTCTTCTTTTAGTAACTCAAAATAGACTTTTATTCTCGTTCTTACAGTTGTCAATATTGAGCTTCATAGAGGAAATAAACCTTTAGTACTTGAGCAAGTGGGGAAGGATTATGAGAGTTGGGTTCTTGAGATGCATAAGACTTATGATGAAGAAGAGGCATCAGGCGAAGACGACGCAGTCGTTATTTTCGATTCCTTGGATAACAAAGTTCTTTGCATTTCGCCTGATTGTAAAGGTATGCTGCTGCTAAACGACTATTCATGCCTAATGCCTTCATCAAGATAAAAAGTAATTGTTTGGTGTAACCATTTTCTAATATTTTCAACGAAACCAAGAATGTGTTCTAAACGGTTCATGATGTTGAGTGATAACACATAGTCATATTATATTTATTCCTTATAAAAATTATTTGTAACTGCATTGCGTTTGAACTCTAGCTGTGAGGGTGCACACTGCTATGAAGAGAAAAGGGATGACATGGAAGCGTGGACAGAAGATCAGGATTCTGAAAGGCGCATGTGGAGGGGTTCATAAAAGTGATGTGTATGCGACAATTGATTATTTTCTCATTGAAGGTTTCGACGATGAAGCAGGTGGTAAGTACCGTCTTAACTATCATTTAAACTACAAGTTAGAACAACGTTGAATTGATCTGTCTCTATGCGCTTTCTGAGCAGGTGATGCCCGGATTATATGCAGGTGAATTGTTTTTTCTATTTAACTAGTTCTGAATACTAGATGAGTTCATTATCTCTAATTCGTGTATTCTGAATCTGAATTTTTGATCTAGGCAAATCAATTACTCTGAAGAAGAGGGATGTATACTTTCAATGACTAAAGGAGTTTCAAGATTGGAACTACAAAGTTCTTCATCTTTTCCAATCAGTATTATTGACTCTGGAATGGTCTACTGCTGAACCCTTAATCATATTCTTTTTCTTTTGCAAACTCTCTTAAATTCACTCTGACAGATGTTTTTGAACAGTGCCTAACTCTAGATGAAACTCAATGGAATAGAAAAATTGAGAAGCAACGGGAAAAGGATCCATCGAGAATTGATATGCTAGATGAGAATGATTGCAGAGCATTGAACATTAATGGGGTATGAACGTTTCTTTTCTTACTAATAAGGAGTCAGATATAGTAATAGAATTTGATATTATAATTCCAGACATGACTGTTTTTAAGTATTAACTCACTTTCCTCGTCTTTTGTCATGTATGTGCCTTCATCTGCTTATGGCTCCATACAAAGATATATTAAATACTTTTCACACCGATGTTTCCCAAATGAATTTTATTAAGCCAAGCACTTGTCTGTAGATCATTAACTACCAGATAACGTTTGATTTATGAATATACCATAGGAATCATCACTTGGCGATTCAGTGCATGCTGGAGAAACTCCCCCGCAACAGATTGTTGCAGTTGTTCGACCGGCTAGCTTCGCACCTTTCAAAGTGTTGAAAAAGTTGGATCAGAAACATATTGTGAAAATGGATGGAGAAATGCTTATGGAAGTAGTGTTTCAAGACACGAATATAAAATCAAAGGATAATAATACCAAAACTTTGTATTCACATCGTTGTTTTCCTACATCCTGTAGCGGTCTTCATGGTCTCTACATCTTTCCACTTGAGTCAAACCGCGCCAACTTGTTCAACAAAGTTGGCATTTACAACTTTTGTTTCTCGATTGTAAGCAATGTTATAATCTTTATCTGCCATTTAAGTTTATCGAGTAATCATATAACCAATTGTTCGAACACTTTCCTTTCAGGGAAAATCGATTACTGCTAAGAAAAAGGTGGTCGTTGAACCGTCGTCAAAGGTGGGAAGTTGGAAACTTGCTTCTAATCATGAGTCTGCGCAGCAGTATGGTGTTCAGTAAGACTCTTATATTCTTCAGAACGGCATATACATGTGACCTTTCTCTTGTACCTGCACTTAAGATCTCGAATTTGATCAATATAATCTACAGGGTGGGTTCTTCACTTCCTCCTTGCTCTATCGCTTGCTTTGATGAATATGGAAATCAGATACCATTCACTTCTGTTCCAAGTCTGGAAGTTGAACTGAAAGCCAGCCCTGGAATCCAAAGAAAGATCGATATGATTGAGGCCAACCTGATAGATGATGGAATTCTCGAAGTCGAGGTATATAACATCTTGAAGCACTAATGTTATGACTATAGTTTTGTTATCAAGAGAGGGTAGATACCAAATTAGCCCCCTGGTGGCAGCTGGAGAAGACCTTTTTCCTTTGATGGCTTTAGGTTTTCTGGCAGAGTTTATAACTTTCTAATTTTTGGAAACTAATGCAGAATATACTCATTGAGACTGATTGGTTAGATCAGATCAGACCAGGTTACGAGGCAACCTTAGAGATATGCTCGAGGGACGAACCATTTTTTGTCTCAGTTGCTTGTAAAGGTAAGCCTAAATCTTTAATTTTGTATTGTAACAGTCTCTATATGTATCTGCTACAAAATATTGTAGTAAGATACACGAAATAGTTATCATGATATGCTTATACGTGGAATAAAGTAAGAGCTGAAGTGTATCGATCAGTAATGGTACTCCAACAAAATGGCCTTTTTGTAATTTCTACTTTCTTTATGGAACTGAGAAAACTGACAACAGTAGGATCTGTTTTGAGATATAAACTTGTGTGTAGAATGATAATTTAGTGCACAAGCTTTTCATATTACAGTTAGTCCTGGGCCTCTGAAGCATGTTGTTGAGATGTATCCAGAGGCTTTGAAAAATTTGCTGCCAGGTTATACTGTTGAAAATTATATCTTGGAGGTATATTTAATATAAAGTCTATTCATTCAATTGTTACGTAATAAGATGATTCCATCAAATCAAGCTGAGTACAGTTTTTTTTTCTTACGCAGGTGTTCGATGGATATAATAACCATGTTGCAGAAGGTACTAATGTTCTGATTTGTACTGAGGGGTATTGTATCAAAGACTCGATGGGCTTAAACAGAAAGGTACGAGGAGCTTATTTGCATGCAATTATTTTCACTGAACAAGAATTTTTCAATGTCTTTTCATTTATTAGATAACTTGGTTAAACATCTAGAATTAATACTCATATTATAAGCTTAGTTTTCTAGTTAATTGGTCTGTTTGTTGACTCTGTATTAACCAATGTTTATTCACTCTTTAAGTTCATTGATCATGTCATGTTAAAGGTTGATAGTTGTGGCTGCGTTGATCTGTCTGGAATTCTCCAAGTCACGGCTGGCTATGGGAAATCTTGTAACATCTGCTACCATTCTTTTGTAAGATGTAACCATAAATATCTTCTTATTTTCTAATGTTTTTTTTTTTTTTTTTTTAATCTGTCTAGTATCACTCTCGGTTATGTCTGGCATTGAAGAGATCTTCAAGAAAGAGTCAATGATTGAGAAACGAGAGCTCAGGCTCCTAACAAAGGTAAGTACCCGTAAAACAGGTTGATTGTTTTAATGTGTACGTTTCTCTTGTTTGGGACTTCTGTTTCTCTTTCTCATCCTGAAATTGATTTTTTTGATCAGCTTCCCGACTGCTGTGCTGCTGGTACAAATCTTATAAACCTCAAGTTCAAAGTGACAGATTCAGATGGTCTTATGGATACTAGTATCCATGATGACGAAAAATCTGGATATTTCCACACCATGAGCATTGATTTTGATTCAAGTGGCGTTGAGAGTTCAATCAGATATGCATTTGTCCATGGGTTCTGCAAAGTTCCTACTCTCTCCTTACCCGAGAGTGAGGGTGACTTTTCTATCCGGGTTTTCCATTCTCGATTTCCCGAGATTCATATGATCTTAAAGGTAGAAATTTGTGGACTAGGTTATCTTATAATATGTTTTTACCATGAGTAGAAAATGCAAGTTGTTGAGAACATGTGGTCTTAATCTACAGATTCAGCTAACGCCTGCTCAAACATTTGAAAGAGATGAGATTGGGTGTTCAACACCTTATCCAATGATGAGTTTAACACCTCAGTCAAAGATGGCTTCAACCACAAATTCATTGGTTGCTCCAACTGGACAAACTCCATGTTCAGAGTTTAGAGTTTTGAACATTAGAGCATCGTCATCGGCTCTCGGTAGCCAAACTGGCCTGATGGATATGCCACAGTTCACTGAGGTATGGCCATCACCATTTGAGTCACAGATTTGATCTTTACGTTTCATTCATGCCTTAGTATAAGCAAAACAAAATCTAGAATGATTACTTTTTTATTCCGAGTTTACATCTCAATTTGAAAATGGTCCCCTTTTTCTGCAGTTATTAAAAGAAAAACTCATTAGATACAGTGAACACAGAGTGGAAGTAGAAGAGCGCCTAAAATGTTTGGAAGATGAACAAAACCATGCTAAAGAAGAGTTGAATACCTTGCAAGGTAACAATTATCTTGGTTTAGATCTGACTGAAGCTGCAAAAGTTTGGTAACTATGATGGGGATTGAAGTTGCATTAATGCTAATTTATCGCGTTTTTGTTGTTTACTGTGCCCTCTATTTGGCGTCTACAACATTACCCTCATCTTTTTATTCTGAAAACACTTAAAGTTTTATTTTTGAGTTTCTGAGACAAAAGAATGGTGAATGATAGCACAAACTGATAATTCTTACCTGTTCATGTTGCCTTTATCACAGCTTCTCTGGAACCTCTTGGTGCTACGTTCCCAGAATGCCTATCCACCAAAGAATCAATGATGAAACAGATTGAAGAGAAGCATCAGGACACTGCAGCATCGGTTTTCTGTTGTTTGTACAGAGAGGCTCCGCCTCCACAATCTCTGTTTCTGTCAAAAAAAGGAGTGTTTGGCCTTGTAGCGCTTCTTGGCTCAGTTCCCTCCACCTCCCTTAGCAGGTGACATCAATTTATCGCCACATTGTTCCTGATCATAGTATCTAGACTTGGGACCAAACTATTTTATCTGAAGTAGAAGTTATTTGGTATGACAGGGTGCTGTCTGAATATTTGGGAGAAGACATAATGCTCGCTTTGGTTTGTAAATCGGCACAATGTGTCCCGAGTAGTGCCGCGTATCTCAGGCTTCAGTCTGAAGCAGATAAACTTGGAAGATCTATAACCAATCATCGGTTTCATGTTCTATGTCTTGATGCAATTAGGTATTCTTTCAACTGTTGGATAGCTGCTTAAAATCGTTTCTGACAGAATTATAAAAGTTTTCTGGTGATCTTTTTCCACCATGCAGACCTTGGAAGGATGGACTTTTGGAGAACGATCCTCAGAAGAAATTAGCCATGGAAGATCCGAAGCTGTCCGATGGAGATCCCATACCGGGTTTCAAAGGCTATGCCGTGAACATGATTGATTTGGCTATAGAGGAGCTCAGTATACAAACATACTCAGGATACGGGCTTAGAGAGACTTTGTTTTATAGTCTGTTTGAGAATTTACAGGTATATGAGACCCAAAAGCAAGTTGAAGCAGCTCTTCCGCACATCAATGGTGGTGGTGCAGTGTCTTTAGATGGTTTTATCGCTAAAGGAAACGGATTCATATATTCTGGGTGCAGGTAGTCAAGTTTTTATTCCTAGCATTGATATGTAAATGGATTCATTAGCGTTTGAGTTTTTATTCCTAGCATTGATATGTAACTGCTGATTAATATTATCTTTCGTTTATTGGTTTCCTGATTAGCAAACCGGAAATCCATTTCCCGATCACAGTAAAGGAGAATGAAGAAGAGAAGCTGAGAAAATATGAAAAAGCAAGAGACAGAGTGAGAAATTCAGCGAAGAAGATAGAGGAGGAGAAGTGCGCATTGCGTAAATTAGAGAAGAAATTGGAGAAAACAAATGGAATGTATCACAATGCAACAAACTCTTTGGAGCTAGTCCAGACTATGTCCCCTTGATGACACGAGCTATGAGCTAAACTGAAAACATAAAACGATTCAAACAGAGTTTTTACATGTTGGTTTATTCGGTTTTAAGACGTTTTGAAGTAGCCACTTTTGTTCACCAAATTTCTATTTCATATTTGTTTTGGATTCTTTTCAAAAAAATAGACAAGATTTATGACTTATGAATTAAAAATAACCACATATACCATACAAATAAACCATGATAGCGAAACTAATGTTTAAAAAAACAGTATCGTCATAGCAATGTTAGTTAGAAAGGTTAGGCAAGAGTAGTATGAGCCAAAGCTCTCATTGGGTTTGAGCTGACAAGTTCCAACCCCTATATAAAGAAAGAAGACTCATAGCCAAAATAGCTTTTGAGAGCTAAATTATTATATGATCATATCTGTCATCAACCACAAGTGTCAAAAGGAAAATAAAAAAAGTGCGGTGGGACTCGTGGAGTGTTGTTATTATATATCTTTGTCATAAACGGAAGGGTTGAGAAAACTATACTAAAGATTTATTTATGTATGTACTACAACATATACATTTGCATTTATATATATATTTAACTTTATTTTGAGGAAACCGACATAAACATCGCGATCCATCTGCGCATGGATGGGCACAAAAACCAAACCGATCTTGGGAACTTCTTCTTCTTCTTCTATTTAATTAGAGGCCGGCCACTCTTGTGTTTTGCTCTTTTCCACCATCATCTTCCCTTACACATAAATTTATTATTATTCTTGATTTTGAGAGACAAGTGACGAATCGTACAACAACAGACAAAGAACACACAGAGAGAGGAGATTCACACATTTTCTCAGGTTAGTTTAGTTCTCTGCTGTTTTACTCCTATTTTTATCTTTGTTTCTTCGATCCATCCTTTTGCCAAAAAAATGCAGCTCTCTTTCTCTCTGGTCTTTCTTTTCTTTTTTTCTCGAGAAAATTGCTGAGAAAATCTTTCTTCTCTTTTCCAATGGCTTTTTGTTTGTTTCTTGGAGATTTACCACAATCTTTGGGGGCTTTCTTGAATTTTTAAAAAGAAAGTCAAAAATATCTGTCCTGTTCTTAAGGAATCTTGTTACTAGATTTCGTATAACTCGGTTAAATGTTATGTATATGGTAAAAACACAAACCATGCTTCAAACCGGGATATGTTTAGTTCTTTCGTGACATTAGACACACCAAACCGTCCGTTGGTTTGGTTCAATCATCTAGACCCGGTCGAACTCAAACTAAACTATGCGATCCAGCTTTGTTTTAACCAGGATATCTTATGATTAGGGTTGGTGGGTGTAGTCTGTGAAGACTTATGCTCATTTTAACATGTTTTTGAGTTTTGCGTTTGGGCTTTTGATAGACACTTTTGGTGGTTTAGGGTCAAAGGAGAGGACAAATTTGATTTCTTACCAAGAAAAAAATCAAAAACAAAAGACCCATATCAAAAAGTCAATACATACTTGCAAGTTGTTGTTCACTGACTATATATTAATACTTAAGAAAAAATACTAATGTCATTGTCATTATTAGTACCCAAACGTCATCTTGTTTTTTTTACTTTCCTGCATTGCATGGCCGGTTTGGTTTGAACCTTTTTCGTAAACAACGAGATGAGAGAACCGGTCATGATCATTTGGTGGCTCCACACACACCACAAAAAAACACAAAAACAAAAAACAGAATCAAATTTTGACCCACAAAATTGTCTTAAGCTTTTAAGTATTGTTTTTTTTTTCGGATGAAACACATACAATTTCCTACAATTACTGAATAAAGCAACAAAAGTTGTATCATTCTCGTGATTTTCAATAATGTTTCACTTTGTATTATTGCATAAACGGAGTCACCCGCTCTGTTTATAAGTCTTGTGTAATTCGCCGAAGATTGCTTATGCTATCATGAATCAATTATGAATTTGGTTAAACATGTATTTTACTCGTTATGTTTGGATTTAATCGGTTTTAATTATTTTCGGATTTAGTATTTACTATAAACTATGTTTTTTATTAAAAATAAATAAAAAATAATTATAGTTTAGCAAAAATAGGACATTCGTAGTAAGCATTTTCCTTACACTTACCATGTTGCTCCATTTTATATTCCTATATGGTTGTATCAAACTTGAATGCTACTTCTAGAGACCTCTAAATGCGTTTGGTCGCTTCAAAGCGTTCTTCTCATCTTGTCATTTAAATATATTCAAAAGAAATAGCTACTAACTGATTCATGCACACGTATACGTGGACCAACATCGATTAAATTTGATCCGGTATTTGTATTTATGCGTTATATATATATATATTTGCATATAACATAGGAGACTTTGATAAGTTATCTCTGTTATTAGGAATATAATAAGTAAGGGATTAAACAAAAGCTCTAATCTCTATCTCTTATCTGTACACCTAGAGATATACGTCATCGGTTGGTTATCTTGGCTATTACGACGAGTTTGCCTACTTATATGACTTTTGGTTTTCATTTTGTTTATTTGATTCATTACTAAAATTATAGTCTTAGACAAGTGAAAAGGCTGTTTTGTTCTAGTTTTGGCTATTTCGATTGAATGGTCTATTATATGGGGGAAGAGCTTAATGTAGCTGTCGTGAAAGCTACAACTATCTTTTATATTAATGGGTAATTTGGCCAACTTTGTCTTATACATTTATTATTATGTATATAAACCAATGACATAATCGCCGTCGACTTCTTTTTCACAAACGTCTTTTTCGAACTTTTTAAATATCGTATTTTTGTCAAACTCAGAAATCTTTTTGCAGATTTGATAACTTCGACTAGTAATTATCAAGATTTAGTGATATTCTAATAATACATAGACATACCATATACATATAAGTTTATGTACGTTTTTATCCTTTTATATATCTTTTTTTTTTTTGTCAACGTACTATGAACATTTTGGTAACCTCGTGTTGATGAGTTCGACTAAATATCTCAAGAAAAGTCAATAACGTGACAAAGACAAAATAAGCAATTTACAAACTATAATTAATTGCACTCGATTTTAATTGGTTTGTTCTCTAGGACCTCTTCTTTTCGAAAATGAAAGTACAGTAAGAAATCGATTATTTATGTGTGGTCGTAGAGTGAGAAGAGCAAAGACTACTACTAAGAGTTGAGAGAAGGTGTTGTTTGTATGGGCTGCTCTGTGTCAAAGAAGAAGAAGAAGAATACAATACGCCCACCGGGATACGAGGATCCCGACCTTCTTGCATCCGTCACGCCATGTCAGTTTTTTAAAATCTTATTAACATCATATAATTATAAAAATGTTACAAAACGTTCTAGGATTTTGGGAAAAACTGTATTCTTTACATTTTGATGTTGGGAGGGACAATAGTTACGGTAGCAGAAGTGGAAGCTTTGTATGAATTATTCAAGAAGCTAAGCAGCTCAATTATTGATGATGGTCTTATTCATAAGGTTCTTTTTCATTCATATCTAAAATCTGCAATTAGGTCTTATTCATAATCTGCAATTAGGCTTTAGTTAAGAGTTTAAAAGTGTGATGTGTTGCAGGAAGAGTTTCAGCTGGCTTTATTTAGAAATAGGAACCGGAGGAATCTATTCGCTGATCGGGTATGTATATTAAAGTTATTTGACTACCTAGACAAGTTGCATTTGCATAAAACATATGTATATTTGATATTATAAAGTTCTGTTTTGTAATATGTTATATATGCAGATATTTGATGTATTTGATGTGAAGCGAAATGGAGTGATCGAGTTTGGCGAATTTGTCCGGTCCTTAGGCGTCTTTCATCCAAACGCACCCGTCCATGACAAAATCAAATGTCATTCTTCTAACCCCAAACATTAATTCTTAGTTTAGTAATCAATATTATTTTCTTATGAAGTTATCTGAAAATGAATTTTTATCATCTTGAATTTGCAGTTGCGTTCAAATTGTACGATTTACGACAAACTGGATTCATAGAGCGAGAAGAAGTGAGTCTATATTTTTTTCCCGGTACCTGCCAGATTAAACAGTTTTAATCCAATAGCTTTTATGTGTGTTGATCTAACATGTATATACCATAATGAAATTGTGTTTTGATTAGTTGAAAGAGATGGTTATCGCGCTTCTTCACGAATCTGAACTAGTTGTGTCCGAAGATATGATCGAAGTAATGGTGGATAAGGTAAATTCATCACTTCCTCACCATGGCATACATGTTTCTAGATTTATAGCTTATAAGGAAATGGTGGCATATATATGTTTTGCAGGCTTTTGCTGAAGCAGACCGCAAAAACGACGGAAAAATTGATATAGAAGAATGGACAGATTTTGTATCCTTGAATCCATCGCTCATCAAGAACATGACGTTGCCATATCTAAAGTGAGTTTATATTGACTAACATTCCAATCTCATATGTTCCAAGCACCAATTCGACCGAGTTGATTTGATCATAAGATTCTTGGTAAATTTGTAGGGACATAAAGGGGACGTTTCCAAGTTTTGTTTCATCTTGTGAAGACGAAGAATTGGAGTTGCAAAACATATATTTCTAAATAGTCCCATGCAAAGGAAGATAACGTTTACCTTGTCGCCTTCGTCTCTGCTTTTCATTTCAGAGCATATAGTTTTGTACAAAATCTTAGATAAAGATGTAAAAGTTAGGCTTTGAAGATGGCTGCTATAAAAGTCGCTATTGATAAGTATCTCGGGTTTGCCTTGTGTATACTATATATATGCTATGCTAGATTTATGTATGTGGTATCCTGAGATTTTGATAGCTCGTGTTACCAGTTGGAGCCTATATTAGCGGACTATATTCTATTGTGAGCATATAAAAGTTTCTATTTATATTCCTAAAACAACAAATTTCTAATGTATGCAAAATCTCATATCTTATTTGGAACTTGATTAGAATCGGTAGTATTAACATCAACTATATTGTTTACAATATGAACTTGATTAAAATCAAAAAAGAAATTCTTTGTTTTTTTCTCCCAACAACTATAGAGTATTTGAATGACTCAGATAATTTCAATCTAAAACGATAATGTTTATAATATGAACGTTCAATTTATTCGCTCTTACATTTGTTTGAACAAAATGAAAGATAACGAGAACAGAGAAAAGAACTCTTATATAACGTTTAAACATGATTTTTTATGGTATGTTTTTTTTTCTTTTGTCAATTTTAGTAAAAAGGGACAAAAAATGTTCTTCAAGAAATTCAGATTTTATATATATATAATATATGGTTTATTATTGTTGATATACATAAAATTTTGGTCATATGTAGTTAATATTCATTATTCAATTAACATGTAAAGTACATTATATAATAACTAAATCCTAAATATTCTATCTGCCTTGGTCAGATGATTTTTTTTTTTCTCTCTTTATCAGATGAATATTCAATTGAATAAAACTACTAATACCCAAACTGTATTTATTTGGATTCATAAATAATACATTTAATTAATTGAATAATACCTCAAAAAAATTAAATAAAACCCCGAACCTTGCTGAATTTGTGAGTCATTCCTCACCTGAAAATAAAATTCATCTCTATCACAAACCAACCAAGATAGCTGAATCAGTTCCTATCGATTTGTGTAAGTTTTATCCTTATCAGCTCTCAGCTCATCTCTCCCAATCTCTCTGATCATCCAGCTCCATTCCCAATGTAAGCCCACCCACTTCAACTCTAATCACCTTCTTCCTTTTTCACCTTTCACATTCTTATTTTGGGTCAATCCTTCAGTTTCACTTATCTAATGTCAATCGAAGATTACGATTTCCGTTCATGACGCATGTATTTGATTGTTGGTGTTGATAAATTCATTGTAGACCCATTGATGTCAAATTCAAGATAGAGTTGACTCTTTGTTAATTTTGCTTTGATTTACAGAACCATCATATAAAGTTGACTCCTTTTTTGAGTATGTATCAAGATGTATTGCACTCATTTAAAGGGTTTTGGTAATACATTGTCAAATGTTGTTATGTGATTAAGAAAGCTTGATGCTTTGAGTTTTGAAATCTCTCTATCTCTTCATGTTCCTGATAAAGATTTTGTTTTTTTTTCCATGCTTATTTTGCAGATTGTTGACAGTAGATCTCATGCGTCACGGCGTTTAAACGAATCAAATACCTTTTGAGAATCAGAAGATCTCACTTTATGGCGGATATGACTGAAAAGGACGTTCCTTTCGCGGTTGAAGATATTGTTCAGACGCCTTTACCTGGTTATGTAGCCCCAACTGCAGTCAGCTTTAGTCCTGATGACTCTTTGATCACTTACTTGTTTAGCCCTGAAGAGAATTTGAATAGGAGGGTGTATGCCTTTGATGTGAATAAAGGTGAATCTAGTTTGGTTTTTAGTCCTCCTGATGGTGGAGTTGATGAGAGCAACATTTCACCGGAAGAGAAGCTAAGAAGGGAGAGGTCGCGGGAGCGTGGATTAGGAGTAACCCGGTATGAATGGGTCAAGACTAACTTAAAGATGAGATTCATTGTGGTTCCTTTACCTGCCGGGGTTTGTTCTGTTATTCCCTTGCTTCTATAATCAGTCCTACGTTTGTTCTCATTAGGATGAGTTTATTGAAATTGTGTCCTTTTTTAGAGAGTTCATATGAATTTGAACTGAAAGAGATGGATTTAGCTAGCTTCGGATAGGCAATAGAACGTGATGGAAAGTATAATAGGTGGGATGGAGAACATATTACAGGTCTTTGACCTAGTGGTTAGTTGGGGCTTTCGGTTTTGGGAGAGTGGAAATCTTTTCAACAAATCTCAGTAATATGTTGGGCTCTTAGTTACCGTTTTGTCATTGATTCCAAGATAAGCTAGAGGATTTGTTCCTGATCTTCATAATGTCTGAATCTTTTCTATCAGCTGCATTAGTGTATTAGTAACATTCGTTAATATTGAGGTACTCTAATTCAGTTTAGTTTACTTTTTTTGTTTTGTAACAATGGTTAGGTGTATATGAAGGATCTTTCTTCATCACCAAATCCGGAGCTTATAGTTCCAAGTTCTCCGAAATCTCCAATCATCGATCCTCGTCTATCTCCTAATGGCTTATTTCTTGCATATGTAAGAGACTCCGAGTTGCATGTCTTCAATTTGTTAAAAAACCAGACACAACAGCTAACAAACGGTGCCAATGGAAGTACTCTGGTAAGTAAATCTTTGGTTCATGGCTGTTATTGTGGTCTTATTAGCATTCTCGCGGGAGAATAACTGGGATTTCTTTTGTTGCTGCAGACTCATGGTCTTGCTGAATACATAGCTCAGGTGAGTAAAATTTCTCTGAAAACTGTCCATTTTGCTCGTATTCCAGAAGAAATCCACAGTTATGCTACAGATTGAGCGTTCTCTTAAACTTTTTCTTGAAACTTTTCCTAACCCAGGAGGAGATGGATAGGAGGAATGGGTATTGGTGGTCTTTAGATAGCAAGTTTATCGCCTATACAGAAGTCGACTCCTCAGAGATTCCTTTGTTCAGAATAATGCACCAGGGAAAAAGCTCAGTTGGTTTAGAGGCGCAAGAAGATCATGCTTATCCTTTTGCAGGAGCTCTAAATTCCACTGTTCGTCTCGGGGTAGTTTCTTCAGCTGGTGGTGGGAAGACGACTTGGATGGATCTTGTCTGTGGAGGAAGAGCGAATACAGAGAATGAGTATCTTGGTAGAGTCAGTTGGATGCCCGGGAACGTTCTCACAGCGCAGGTTCTGAATAGGTCGCAGAGTAGACTGAAAATCATCAGGTTTGACATAAAGACTGGTCAAGGAAACATACTGCTGACTGAAGAATCCGACACGTGGGTGAGTTTACATGACTGTTTTACCTCTCTGGACTCAGTTCCTTTGTTGAGAGGTACAGGAGGATTCATTTGGGCCAGCGAGAGGACCGGTTTCAGACATTTGTATCTTTATGAGTCTGATGGGACATGCCTTGGAGCTATTACTAGCGGTGAATGGATGGTTGAGCAAATCGCAGGTGTAAATGAGCCGATGAGTCTGGTGTATTTCACAGGAACCCTTGATGGACCACTTGAGACTAATCTTTACTGCACAAAGCTGGAAGCTGGAGATGCATCTCGGTATCAACCCATGAGGCTTACACATGGGAAAGGAAAACATATCGTTGTGCTCGATCACCAGATGAAGAATTTTGTTGACATTCATGATTCAGTTGATTCACCTCCGCGGGTTTCTCTTTGCTCTTTGAGTGATGGAACCGTGCTCAAGATTCTTTACGAGCAGACATCTCCCATACCAATACTGAAAAGCCTTAAACTCGAGCCTCCAGATTTTGTTCAAATACAAGCGAATGACGGAAAGACGACGCTGTACGGCGCAGTTTACAAACCCGACAGTTCGAAATTTGGTCCTCCTCCATATAAAACAATGATCTACGTTTACGGAGGTCCCAGCGTTCAGTTGGTCTATGATTCTTGGATTAATACAGTCGACATGAGGACACAGTACCTGAGAAGCAGAGGCATCTTAGTTTGGAAGGTTCTAAAACTTCTGTATCTTCTCCTTATTTTTTTTTTTGCCCCTCAGGAAGATGTTGAATAAGGTTCACTCAAAGATGAGGCTTTAGAATTGATTTATAATCTCTGATATTTGCAGCTTGATAACAGAGGAACTGCACGACGTGGGCTGAAATTTGAATCTGGGATCAAGCATAAATGTGGATATGTTGATGCAGAAGATCAAGTCACCGGAGCCAAATGGCTAATTGACCAAGGCCTGGCTAAACCGGACCACATTGGGGTATACGGTTGGAGTTACGGTGGGTACCTCTCAGCTACACTCTTGACCCGATACCCTGAGATCTTTAACTGCGCAGTCTCGGGTGCTCCTGTTACATCTTGGGATGGCTATGACTCATTCTACACCGAAAAATACATGGGACTTCCCACGGAGGAGGAGCGATACCTGAAAAGCTCGGTAATGCACCATGTCGAGAACCTAACGGATAAGCAGAAGCTGATGTTAGTACACGGGATGATCGATGAGAATGTGCATTTCAGACACACGGCTAGGCTTGTGAACGCGCTTGTCGAAGCGGGTAAGAAGTATGAGTTGTTGATATTTCCTGATGAACGACATATGCCACGGAGGGAAAAGGACCGGATATATATGGAACAGAGGATTTGGGAGTTTATAGATAAGAACTTGTGATTGTGAAGGTACTTTCACAAACATTGTTGCTTAATTTTTTTTTTTCTCACATTCTTTTTTATTTCTTTATTACATGAATAAATGGTGTTATCTCTCATTCCTAATCAATGATTCGTTTCTACGGCATCAGTAGTTCAGTACAGATCACAGAAACCAAATTAAGTAAAATTAACCGATGACGGTTTATAAGGCCGGTTCGTATCAATTAACTAATCCCACCAAAACGCCGTTAGTTTTGTCGGACTCCAAAAACGCCACGTTGGCTATTGCTAGCCCTGTTAACGGAGCGGATATCCGCTTTTTTTTTTTTAAATCTGAATCCGTATCCACATCCCTATTATCCGTGATTTTAAAATCCATATCCGTATCCAAAAATCCGGATATCCGTGAAAAAATGAATATCCGTGGATATCCGAAAATATGTTACCAAAATACCGGATATATGTATCTTAATACCGGATATCCGTATCTAAATACCGAATCCACATATAAATACCGGATATCCGTATCTAAATACCGGATATCCGGGTTTTTCAAATAAAAAACAAGAAGCAGATATCCGTTATCCATTTTTAAAAACCGTATTATCCATATATGTATCCAAAATATCCATAATTTACTATTTGTATCCGTATCCGTTTTTCCATATATCGGTTTTTTGGATAAAAAAACGGATACAGATATGGATATTTGCGGATGCGGTTTTTTCTCAGGGCTAGCTATTGCCCACTGGTCTAACTTAATGGTAAAAGATTCGACCTTAATGGTAAAACTCTGCATTTTGTGACACACATTTTATGGTGCGGTAAGAATTTTCACACTATGTTTTCAAAATTGATAACAAACAAGGGTTTTTTTTTTTTTGAGCAACAACAAACAATGTTTAAATACTAATGTGAATAGTAAATAAATAAAATTTGGATAACTAGATACAAAAAAAGGATCAATTCCAGTTTCTTAAATGATTTCACAGTCTAAATTAAAAATTAAGTATTGTAACAAAAAAAAAACATATTAAATGTTTTCTTGTGATATTTTTGAGGATGAACATTTATGTTTTGAGAACTATTACAATTTATTTTATTTCATATACAAATGAGAGTTTTAGTATTGGAGGATTTTTTTTTTCTACAAGATCTCTACACATAATTAAAATATATTTTTGTGTTCTTTTCAATAAAGTTGGAAATAATTACTTTATCTTTTTAATAGGAGATGGCATAATTGTCCCCAACTCATACATTTTTGTATGATACTTTTTCTTAAATTTTTATTTCTAATTTTCTTTTTTCAGAATTTAATTTGCTCTTTGAATGTTGGAAAAATAAAAGTAAACTACTAAACCAAAAAGGCAAAAACCAAAAAGCAAGAGCCCCTAGAGTCGTCTGAAACGGAAAATAAACATTTTGCGTCGTCCGTTACGGAAACGGTATCTGCCGTGGGGAGCAGTTCACGGCGTTCATAATCGCATAAAACAGTCAAAAGTCAGCCAGGTCAAACCCTATAAATAGACCCCCTCAAACTTCGCCGCTGTTCAAAGAAGACTTGTTACTCCTTCTCTCTCTCTCCTCTTCTTCTTTCTTTTTTCTGGGAAACGCAAAAACTTTCTCGGGGAAAAATTAATAATTCGAGATAGGGTTTTCGAATTCTCGGAAAACTTGGCGAGTAAGTTTTATCCAACACAAGTTTCCGATTTCGCCGAGAAGAATCGCTCCGTCGATTTCCATCGCTTCGCGGATTTCAATTCCTAGGTATTGCAATTTTTTTTTTTTTTTTTTTTTTTGAAATTTTCGATCTCTCTGTAGAACCTGTTAATTTCTCCGATCATTTGTGATTCCTGTTATCTGTTTTGATGATCGGAAAATGTGAATTATGGAGATATTTGTAACGGTTAAAAGTATATGATGATCTGAGACTTCTCTTTAGTGTTTCTGGATTGAGATATTTGTGTATCGATGTGTTTACTGATCCACTCCTTCTCTGGTTGTTAAAAAGTGTTTAAATCCAATTTTTTTTTAATTCCTTTATGAAACCTAAAAATAAGGTTAGTAATCGGATAAAGTTTGAAAAACTTAGGCCAGCTTTGTTTGGGTTTTAGATGATAAAAATCCGATTAAGACGTTGACTTGAAACTAATTTGTGGCCGTTGTTTAGTTATGCTTTTATGCTAATTTTAGATTTTGAAGACTTCTAATTATATCTATAGATGAGAACTGAAAGGTTTATAGTTTTATATAGTTCCCTAAGATCAAACTTGAGGTATGTTCATCAACCATCATCCATTCAAAGAGGTTTGCGTTTTTTCGTGTTTTTGTTTTCTTTCTAAATTCTTTTTGTGTTTGATCCGTATACTTAACATCTGTAATATTCTGTGGAGAATTTGAAAATGGTGATTGATGTTCTTGAACTATTCGTTTATTGAGTTATGAAATCTCCTTTGCATAATCTTGTTATCTTTGTTACATGTCTAATTCAATGTGATTGTTATTCTTATTCAGGTTCTTTGCGATTGATGCAACCAAGAGATACGTTTCAGCTGGCGTAATTTGAATGAGAGCCTAAATCTTAAGTTGTTTCGTATTGTGTTCATTTCCATATGAATACTTGGCAAATACTGCTTGGCAAGATGTGAGTTAGAAGGCCCTTCAGTTCCAGAGTTCCTGATCCGTGCAGGAACTTGGTGATTTCAAAGCTCACAGGAGAAAGATAAGGGTTGATTCCTGGGATTTCACCCTATTCCTGTTGAGCTCTCTTCATTCCCAGGAATCCGGTTCTTCAGGATTTAGAATAGTATTGTACAGTTGGAATGTCAGTTGCTAGTGTAGCTTTGAGTCCAGCCCTGGAGGAACTTGTTAACTTTCCAGGTATTATTGGACGGTTTGGTTTGAGCTTAGACGATCCAATCCTAGTTTTCCTTACTATTGCTGGATCTGTGATCCCGAAGCGGGTCATGGAGTCATATTCAATAGCATCTGTGAAGCTAAGGATTCAGAGTATCAAGGGGTTTTTTGCGAAGAAGCATAAACTGTTGTATGATTGTAGAGAGCTATCTCAAAATGATTCTCAAGTTCGAGATTATGGTCTTGCTGATGGGAAGCTGTTGCATCTGGTTATTAGAATTTCAGATCTCCAGGCCATTTCTGTAAGAACTGCTGCTGGGAAGGAGTTTGAGCTCGTTGTTGAGAGGAGTAGAAATGTTGGTTATGTGAAGCAGCAAATTGCTTTGAAGGAAAATGAGCTTGGAATCCCCAGGGATCATGAACTCACGTTAGATGGTGAGGAGCTAGATGACCAGAGACTCATCACTGATCTCTGTAAAAAGGGAGAGGATGTGATTCACTTGCTAATTAGAAAATCTGTTGAAGTTAGAGCAACACCAGTTGGAAAAGATTTTGAGGTGTTTATTGAAGATGTAAATCACAAGCACAATGTGGATGGTAGAAGAGGAAACATATCTCCACAAGCAAAGCCTAAAGAGTTCTTCGTGGATCCTGTTATTGTTAATCCTACAATTCAACTCCCTCTATCGCTCAAAGAGCTTATCAGCTCCACTTTGGAAGGCTTGGAGAAGGGAAATGGCCCAATTCGATCATCTGATGGATCAGGCGGAGCTTATTTTATGCAAGATCCATCTGGACACAAGTATGTCTCAGTCTTCAAGCCCATTGACGAGGAACCACTGGCTGTAAACAATCCGCACGGACAGCGTGTTTCAGTTGACGGCGAGGGATTAAAGAAAGGCACACGGGTTGGTGAAGGAGCTATCAGAGAAGTAGCAGCCTACATTTTGGACTATCCCATGAATGGACCACGAACTTTTCCTCATGACCAAACTGGTTTCGCTGGAGTTCCGCCAACAGCAATGGTCAAATGCTTGCACCAAGATTTCAACCATCCCAATGGTTTTAGTTCCTCTTCCGAGAACACAAAGATCGGTTCACTGCAGATGTTTGTCAGCAATGTGGGAAGTTGTGAAGATATGGGATACAAAGTATTCCCTGTGGATCAGGTTCACAAGATATCGGTTCTAGACATAAGGCTGGCTAATGCAGATCGTCATGCTGGAAATATTTTGGTTAGCCGAAACGGATTGGAAGGACATATGGTGCTTACTCCAATCGACCACGGTTATTGCTTTCCTAATAAGGTAAACAATTCTACTTTTTCAAACAAGAATATTGATATTCACAGTTCGGTTTCCTAATTTTCAAACTAAACCAGCTGCAAAATATTTCGGCTAAAAACACCTTATTTGTTCTTGTGCAGTTTGAGGATTGCACATTTGAATGGCTATACTGGCCTCAAGCAAAAGAGCCATACTCTTCAGAAACATTGGAATACATCAAATCTTTGGACTCTGAACAAGACATTGAACTTCTGAGATTCCATGGTTGGGAGATTCCGCCTTCATGCGCCCGTGTCCTCCGCATTTCAACCATGCTTCTCAAGAAAGGTTCTGCAAAGGGTCTCACACCTTTTTCCATCGGAAGCATAATGTGCAGAAAAACACTCGAGAAAGAATCTGTGATTGAACAAATCATACACGATGCAGAAGCCATAGTGTCCCCAGTGACAACCGAAGAGGAGTTTATAAACACTGTCTCTACCATTATGGACAACCGGCTCGATCAGCATGCTTGGAACTGAAACTATCTCTATCTCTCCTTTGCTCCAATCTATGTTCGTGATTGTTCAACAGGTGTATATCCAGCGTCCGTAACAATAAATAAGTGTCATTATACCTTGAACTAATCCTTAACTTTTGGAAACAGTGGGGTTTAGTAATGAATATGATGATTGGGTTGCTATATAATATCTCAAGTCTTTTATGTTATGGAACGTTCGTGATCATTTTTGAGACTTGTTCAGAGCATCCAAACTCATAAATATATGGGATATTAGCATCCAGACCTACTTTAAAGTAAACTATTCACTATTAGACCCACTTTTTGCTACATGTATACTTTCTATAAAAAAAATGACTATTCTATCCTTCGAATTCTATAACTGCTTCTCTTCCTCTCCTTCCTCTCGTTCCTCTTCTCTCCTCTCAAATATAACTTTCATTATTTCAGTAAAAAACTTAACTTCAAAAAGAAAAAAAAACCCAATTCCTCACTGAAATTTTTTTAATTCCATCCTTAATTCTCAATCTCTCATTGCTAAAACCCTAGGCAAAATCTTCATCCCATTGTCTAAACATTCCCCCTCCACCTCATCGTAACATTAACAAACAAAATATTCCTCTTTAGCCCGTCGGAATCGTAGATCCACCCTCTAAACTTTATCCTCCAACCGGTCGAAGCACTAGCCAACCAATCCCAACCTTCGTCACTGTTTTCGTACCTTCCGTCGTTAGATTAAAAGCTCCATCTTCATCCTCCCTTCCCCTGGGACCGTTGACTTTCTTTTTGTGTGCTATTACGCTCTCCCAAGGTTAGTTTCTGCCCACATATCTGGTACCAAAATTTTTATTAGTCTGTAACCACGTGGATACCTATGAAAGCTATCCATAATTCTGTAACCACATGACTTGTCTTCATCTTTGAACATCTAATATTTTTGCTTTCATCGTCATCTGTGTTCGCAGCTAACTGTTTCCCGATGAAATCCTACACAAACAATCCAATTTTGCTTCATTGTTTTCTGAAGTTGTTTGTATACGGTGCTATATGTTAGTTAACCGCCGCATCTGGTCCTCCTGATGAAGCTGCATATTGGAAGCTGCAGAATTGTTGGATGTTATTTAAGATTTTCAGCTATTCCAATTGTATGCATGGTTTTAGCTATTAAGATTGACAACGAGAACTGTATGATGTTAAAACGAAACCATTTTGATTTTGAATAGTACAATGACGTTTCCAACAATCAAAGTCCACATGGATTGTTTATACTAATGAACGTGCACTAATGTCCCAAAACAAATTCTTACACCAAAACATTTCTCGCTAAAGTACAACAATCCATTTTGATAGCTAATTGTAGATAGCTCAGCCGTGGTTCTCTAAACAAGGTTATCTATCAATTATTAAAGCTTAGAAGTTGCGTACATTTTTCCATATCCACATGGATTTATATATGATGAACATAAATCCGTAGATAATGATATGAACTTAAAATATGTATCTATGTGGATATCTTTCAAACAACTCCTTTCATAGACTCCATCTTTCTCCTTTTCTTCATTCTCAGCCACATCTTGAATCAATTGCTCTTGCGAGCACCCATTCTCGTCTTCAACATCTAGTTCACATAGCCTTGTCGTCGTCGATAACGGGACAATCCTTGACAGGAAGATCTGGTCTACCTTGAACTCGGCGGCGTTACCGCTTGAGAACCCCCATTATCCAGACACTACCACACAAAACCCAGATATTTCAGCCTGCAAATACCAAAGAAAAAAAATTAAAAACTTACCCAATCCACAAAATACTCACAAAAGAAACATAAATCCGTCTCCACTAAAGCCTACCTCTACATCTACATAAATCCGTCTCCACAAAAGCCTACCTCTACAACAATAAACCCTAAACTGTTTTTATATGGGGTTCTTTATCCACAGAAAACCTAGATTTTTAATTAATATGAAGGTCAAAACCATCTCGTTACTATTTTTTAATTTAAAAATAGCAACCGTCCGATTTCAGTTAGTACTCATGATCTTATGGTTCACAATGTATTAAAAACATGAAAACATTACACCACTTTAAAACTCACTTGAGGACAGTTTTGTCTTAACACATCTAAGCTTCTTCCTATAGAAAGAAGAAAAGTATAGCTGGAGTGGAAAGTATGTCTATTTGCAAGACAACTTCACAGAAGTAGGTGTAAGTGTAATTATCTCTAAATATATATAAGTTTGAGTCTATAATACTTCTATCTTCCTACGCAAATTCGAACTTTCATAGATTACAAAAACACAAACAAAAATGAAAAGAATAGAAAAGTTTTCAAAGCATTTGAAGCAACGAAAAGAAGCAGAAGTCACTGATTAAACTGATGCAAAACATATTCACCATTAAACATAGGATCCCACCATTGATGAATCCCATGAGATTTCTTGAAATTAGGCGACTGGCTAGTGTTTATCGTCATATACGCAGATGGTAAAAGATGAAGAGGCTCTGAACAAGAATCTGAAGACGAGCTTCCTGATCCTCCTCCTCCTCCTGACAACAGACTCCTAAGTGAGTTCCTCGTAGCGATTCTTTCGATTTTGCCGGCTCCTATGTCAAACATTTTGTTTCTGTGCTTGAAGTAACCAATGTACTCTGAGCATATTGGATCTGACGGATTCACATACAAATATGGTATCCATGTTGCTAACTTCATAAACGAATCGTCTTCTTGACTCTGTTAATAATATTCAACATTATTTACTGTTAGATTATAATCAGTAATTTTAACGCAAAAAAGAAGAAAAAGATTATACTAATCAGTAACCTCAAAGACAAAGTAGAACAAACAATTTCTTAATGCTAATTACTAATCATTATATTATACTCTTTCCATTTCATTATAGTTGTGTCTTTTTTTTTGGATTTTTCAATGATATTCACTCATTCAATTTATTTTAGTACATGATGGTTCAGAAATTTTATTTCGCCTCATTTAATTATTTATTTTCAAATTTTCTACCAATTTTAAATTTATCAAAAAAAAAAATTGTCATCATTTGTAATTTGTACTGTAATTTAGTTGATATGATTGTTGTAGATCCACTATTAAATAATTTTTTAATTGTTGTTTTACGAAATACATCATATTTTATCTATGTAATTAAGAATTTATAATGTACCATGGATATTATACCAAAATTTTTAATATGGGTAAACAAATGGTTTAAAAATCTTACTTGAAAATTAATTTTACAAAATAAAATCATTGTAGAATTATTAAAAGGACAAATATTCTTAAATGGGATGAGAGAGTATTACGTCGTTACCTTATTATGGTGGCGACCCTTGACGGCGATTGCTACACCCGCTTTGACAAGACTTCCGGCGAATCGAACTCCATGTTTAAGCTTCTCATTCTTCACTAACTTCTCAATCGGAATAGACGAGAACGGAGGATTGAACAAATAACTCTCAAGAGGGAAACCAGACCTAGTCATAATCTTCCCGGCGAGCAAAGCCACGGCGGCTCCAAGAGAATGTCCGGCAAGCCAAACAGCTGCATTACCAGTTTTAGCCACCGCACTCTGAATCACCTGAACCGCATGCACGAACCTAGTGCTGTCTTGGAGACAGTCGCGTACGCAGCGTAGGTCGAGCTTAAGGTCACGTGACCGAGAGTGCCGTTTCATGATCGTGCCACGGAACGCGATCACGTGACGAGGAGGTGGTTTCGAATGAAGGGTGTTATGGTAATTGTAAGAGAAGAAGTGTTTGTATTCGAAAACGGCGCCGTATATGGATCCGTCTGAGTCGTCGATTAGGGTTTCGGCTAAAGTGAAGTTGAAAAACTCCCACCAGTGATTGGCTTGTGACTTGAGACCAATCCTGTTTTGTTGTCTGTCTCGTTCCAATGTGTACACTGCTTGTACCAAACACGATGCGACCGAGGTTCTATGGTAAGAATTATTCCTATCAAAGTCAAAGAACACAACACGTTGACTTTAAGAGTATTTTCATTTGGTTTGAATGTAATATTTTATAATACAACTTGTTGTGGAAAAAATGAAACGATTAGAGAATTTTTAGAGTTGACTCTGGCTAAATTGCACCGTTGAATTAATTAGCATAAGTATGTGATTAGTGATGATGAGTTTGTTGTTGAAGAAGATGATTATATGTGGTTGGAGATTTTAATGAAAGAGACGAAATAATAGAAAATAGAATTACCAATCAATGGAAGTTAAATGGATAGGACCAGAAATGCTAAAGATCTCTCTTTGAGAAGCCATTATCCCCTGTTTCACCATAATCTCATCTTCTTCTTCTTCCTCCATGTGTTTTACCTGAAAAAATATTGTTCTTGATTCATCAGTTCATGTTCTTGATCATTACGAATGCAAGAAAATATATAGGACCAAACAATAATGGTAAAATATTGATGTAGTAAGGCTAAAAAGGAATTAGAAAATGGAAAAACATTAAGAGAGGAAAAAACATACCTTTTCTGTTTGTATTATCGAAAGGATCTATCAGAAGGAGTTTTTAAACAGAAGAGATGAATCTGATGACAGAAACTAAAATTATAAAGGTTTTGTGCAGAAGAGATGTCCCGTCTTCTAACTTGTGGGTTATTGTTTTTTTATTTTTTGGATCTAAAGAGATTAATGGGACCATCTCTTAGATATTGAAACGTGCAAAAGTGTATTAACAACTAGAGATTGTCAATAAAAATTTATAAAACAATCCTCATAAATATCACTAAATAAGTTTTTTTTTTCTTCCAAAAATACCATTTTAAAATACTACTAAAATGTATATTTTAAAAATAATACTCCTTTCAGAATCTATACTATATAAAAGTAAAGCATAAAACTAAACCTTTCAAAATTAAAGCAAAAATTCTAAACACTAAAACCTACCCAAAATATCAGTTAACCTAAATAAATAAAAAAAATATCTGAACTTTTGAAAATCAATTTTTGTGCTTGTGATATATTTGGAAAACACAAGGTTTGGTAATACTTTTGGAAAGTGTGTATTTTTAGGAGAGGCCTGAAACTAAGCATAGTATGGTTATAATAATCACTTATAACTTTCGTAATTATAGAATAGTTTTAGTTAATTAATCATACGATTATAATATTACTATTTTCATTTATACATTATTTCTGTGAAAAGCAGTTTACATTACCCAAACAAAAACATTATGATAAACATTACATGGAAACATAAACTATAAGAAGCAATTTAAAGTAAAGGGAACAAGGTATAAAACATGGGAACAGAGAGCAAAACATGATATGGAAAATAAAAATTAGCAGTGGAGAAGGGTAGATAAAGAGGATTTGGAACAACACCTTATAATGTGACCAAACCAAACCAAATGTTTCATTCATTTTTCTAGTGTCAATTGCTTCAACTGTCCTAATTTGCCTTTATGGTAAGGCCTAATGCAACAGCTTTCCCAGTTTTCCCTCATGGCCGAGTCACGCTCCCACCATTGGTGAAGTTCATGAGCTGTCGTAGACTTAGTCGGTTTGTTATAGTTTACAGTCATATCTGCTGATGGAAGAAGGTGAAGAGGTTCCGTTGACAAATCCGAATGTGATGTTTTTCCTTTTCCTCTGACCAATAGACATCTAACTGATTTTCTAGCACCGGTTCTCTCGATTTTGCTTGCACCGATCTTAGACATGAAGGTTTTGTGTTTGAAGTAATTAATATATCCTGCACATATTGGATCTTTTGGGTTCACATATAGATAAGGTATCCATGATGCTGTCTTTGTATTGTCTTCTTGAAACTGTAATAATTTTAAGACAAATCGTTTCTTGTAAGAAAATCAACTACACACTAGCTAGTTGTACTAGATATTTTGGCTAGGTTATTTTAGTTTCTTGTAAGAGCAAACATTTTAATATTTTACAAAGATGACTTTAGTTTACCTTGTGATCGGCTAAGGCCACGGCTACAGTAGCTTTGACAACACTCTTGGCGATTTGAAACGCGCCTCTAATCTTATCTCCCCCAGGAAGCTGCTCTAGAGGAATAGTGGAGATGGGTGGGTTGAATATGTAACTTTCGAGGAGGAATCCAACACTTGTCATGCTCTTTCCTGCAAGCAAAACTAGGGCAGCTCCCAAAGAGTGTCCAGCAAGCCATATAGCTGATTCACTGTGTTTCTCCACCATACTACGGATCGTTCGCATGGCATGAACAGGCCTACCACCATGATGAAGGCTGTTGAACATGATTTTGAGGTTAAGTTTCATATCAGACTTCCAAGTTTTCCCTTTCAGAACCGTGCCGCGGAAGGCAATCACATGATGTGGAACTTTCACATTTGGTGTATTTTGGTAAAGGCTGTAGAGATTGTACTCGAAAACCGCACCGTATATGGCACCGTCGTCATCGATCAAGGTTTCCATCAGAGTGAAGTTGAAAAACTCCCACCAAGGATTGGCTAGTGATTCGGAGCCTACCCGTTTCTCTCGTCTGTCCCCTTCCAATGTGTACACTCCATTTACCAAGCTTGATGCCACTGACGTTCGGTAGTACGAATTGGTCCTATTAAAATCAAATAAAAACTAATTATTCATACGAAGAATCTGCATAGATAACTCTAAGTGAGTAGCATGATTTGCTTTTGCTTTGTATTGTAACTCATGCATGCACGGCACACAAATCCATATAATTTTGATAAAAAATTCCATCGTCTATCATTACGATCAAATAACATTATAAAAACTGTTCTATAGTTTTACTTTCTACAATCAATTTATTTTAAAAGGAAGTATATATAATACTAAACAAAAATTAAAACGTTACCAATCAATAGATGTAAGATGGAATGGGCCAAAATTGCTGAAATCATCTGTATTTGAGGACATCGCTCCTCCTTCCATTTTTTTTCTGATAAAGCCTCGTCCCATATTTTCTTCCTTTTCCAATAATCTAAAATATTACATTACCATTTAGTAATCAAACTGATTTAACGTAAAATGGTGAAGAATCGTAAAAAGAAAAGTAAAGAGAAATAACCTTTTAATATCCTTGGTCGTCTAACAAGTCAATCAGAATCGAATTTAATCGAATCTGATGAAGTAAGCTTAAGTGTCTTGTGAGAAAAACAAACTAAAGAGAGTTCTTCTGTTTGTTTGTTTTTCTAAGTTTAAGAGTTCAACAAATGAACTAATTAATGAGTTATACACTGATAAGCATCATTCTTCCTATTTATACAATTGCTAAATATAAGAAGACTTTTTGAATCCGGAGACTTTGAAATTGTCCATTGCACACTGACACGAGCAAGAACGTATCAACCTATATTTCTTTATTTAGAAATAGACAAAATTTCTACAAAGTAGCAATTAAAAACGTACTTAGACGTGTGAAATCAATCGTTGTGACCGCGTACTACTGTTTCGATTTATCAAATCATCTATAAAGGAAAACAAACCTTCTTTATCAATAGAGGTACATGATCATCAAACCAATTAAAATAGTCATACATACCCTAAAACAAAATTTTGAGTATGGTGTCAAACCAATTTAAATAGTCATATATACTCCAATCTTCCTCACGCCAGTATCCAAGATTGATGTGTTAGTAAATATTGGAGTCACATACGACCCTCCATCTTGAAAAATGCAAAAATTTAAGAAAACAAAATTTTATTATATAACCAATTCAATTTCAAATATAGTTGGGAGACTTTACCCAAAAAGATAGTTAGAGAAGATTTTATTAAGAAGTGATGATTCAAAACAATAATAATAAAAAATGATAGAAGAATCATAATTTTGAATTTTAAGAAAATCTTCTACATACATATATTATTAATTGTGAAACAAATTCTCACAAATAGCAAAAAAAAAAGTTTTTGTAGACAAATTAATTCAGTCATCACGAAAAAAGAAGGGTTTGGTAGATGAAAACATATATACACAGATATAATGTTTTCTTGGAAATGTGTGGTGTGCTTAAGTGATTTCTAAGTTGCAGGAAGAAATAAAGAATACTATTATATTTATCTATTAGTAGAAGATGTTGATCAAAGTTACAAACTTACAATACTAACTATGTCAAGTATGAGATTTTAGTTGTTGCAGAATCTCTGGCACATGAGACAGCCGAATATATAATGCTTCAATATTAATATTAGCTTAGATAATTAGACTATCTTCATTGGTCATCAAAATATAGGTGTGTTTCCACATAAAAATGATTTTTTTTTTTTAAAGGAAAAAAAAAGTTTAATATGTAGTGAACAATGTGGACGGTCTTACAACCGTACAATCGAGTTGGGAGTATACTGGTAAATTGATCACGTTTTGGAAGACAGCACCGTATATGGAGCCGTCTGGTGCGTCAATTATTAGGGTTTCATATAAAGTGAAGTTGGAAAAACACTCCCACCAAGGCTGTGGCTAATGAGACGGAACCACACTGGTTGTTTTGCTTTGTCGTCTCGTTCCATTGCATAAACTCCTCGCACCAAATATGGCACCAATGAGGTTAGCTAGGTGTTACATATCGTTGTTTCCTACTAAAGACAAAACATATATATCTTGACCATAGAATCGATCGGGATGTGGATATTATCTCTTCTTTTTATGTGTATCATTATGTAAAATTGTTATTTATTATATATATATATATATATTCGAAAAACACATGCAAATATATGTGTGGAAGTCAAAAGAACAAACAAAACAGTACACTTTTTTGGTCGGAAACAGGGGACTTAGTCCCCTATAATTTATTAAACAAAAAAAACTACAAACGAATACGTCTAGGAACCGTAGCCCCGTTAATATCACCCAACAAAAGCGGATAAATCTCATCTGGACAAACATTAAACGATAAAAATCCTAACGGTAAAGAAAAAGCATAGTTGGCCAACCCATCTGCTAGACGATTAGCTTCCCTATAAACGTGAGTAACTCGGACCAGCCAGTCCCGTGAAATAAAGCCATGGCACAGACGTACCAGGAACGCCAGCGGATGAGCATCGTTCACCCCTGACCTAAGAAAACCCACAACCAACAAGGAGTCAATTTCCAACACCACTCGCCGAAAACCACACTCCCATGCTTGTACCAATCCGTAGTACGCTCCCCATAACTCTGCTAGGGGCGCCTCACACACACCAATATGTAACGAAAAACCAATCACCCACTCTCCCAGTTCGTCTCGAATCACACCCCCGGCCGCTGCCCTCCCCGGGTTCCCCTGTGAAGCCCCATCTGTATTGACTTTAACCCATCCCGCCGTTGGTTTACCCCAAGAAATTAACCTCTCAACCCTCCCGGTCGAACCTAAGTCGTAAATCCCTTGGCCGTGTACTCTTAAAACTTCAGCCGCCTTGTCTTTTAGGAACTTTAGTCGATCCCGACACAAGCCTCTCTCACCAAACACATCATTGCATCGCCATTTCCAACTCCACCATACCGAGGTTGCAAATAAAGTGGGCCAATTGTCACTTCTTGATCCGGAATGCTTCCCCAAATTATCATAAAGCCACTCCAACAGAGACTTGTGGAAGAATTCATGGCGCTCCCTACTCGCCACAAGCCGATTCCAAATACCAGCCATGGCGGGGCAATCCCTTACCACATGTAAGATCGTCTCCGCTGCTCCCACACACACTTGGCATATATCCGACTCCCCCATATGTCTTCTCTTTCTTTCCACAGCCGTTAAGATCACTCGATGGGTAATGAGCCAAAGGAAAACACGCACTCTTTCCGGCACCCTTACATGCCAAACCCTATCAAAAAAACGAGCCATACAAGGTTTCAGCTCCTTCTTAGCCGTCAACAACGAATACGCAGACTTGACCGTGAACACTCCATTCTCGGTCCCCTTCCATGACAAAATATCAACCAATCCCGGGATGCCCTTTATAACCACCGCATAAAGTCGATTTCTTATAACCTCGGGAAGAAAGAAGTCGAGTTTCTCCATGTCCCAACCAACTCCAGGGATCCAATATTCCTCCACGCTTTTTATCCGTTCATCATCCGGTACCGCTGTACAAGCCCAACACCATAACGGCTCCGCCAGCAGCCATCTATCCGTCCAAAAAAGTATTGACCTACCATTCCCTGGTACCCACCCAAGTCCAAGTGTTACCACCTCCCGCAAGCCCACTCCCACGCTTCTCCAAGTGGATGACCAAGTTCCTTTGGGCACAAGCCAAGAAGAGTCATGTACCGTACCAACCTTATATTTGCTCCTTAGGACTCTTGCCCAAAGACTCTCCTTGTCGTGTAGTAATCTCCAACCCACCTTAGCTAACAGCGCTCTATTCATATGACTAGCCATACGTAAGCCCAGCCCACCTTCGTGCTTCGGTTTACACACCTTTTCCCATGATAACAAGTGAATCTTCCGTTTTTCCATCGTGTCCCCCCATAAAAATTCACGTGACAATCTGTCCAATCTAGCTAGAGTCGCAGCGGGTAGCAAGATAGTACTCATTGTGTGAACCGGTATTGAGGACAACACTGATCTCGTTAGTGTTATGCGCCCTGCCAAGCTCAGCATACGGCCTTTCCAACCAGCTAGCCGCGTTGAGACCCTTCCCAAAACTTCCACAAATGTTTCCTTATTAATCCTCTTCTGCAAAATAGGCATCCCTAAATACTTCCCCAGCTCTCTTGTTGCCCCAATTCCACTTGCTTCGCTAATCAACCTCTCCATATCCCTGCTGACATTAGAGGAGAAGAAGATTTTGGACTTCTCCAAACTAACTTTTTGACCCGAGGCCATACAAAAATTCTCAAGTATGCTTCTGATCACTTGAACTTGTGCCACCGAAGCTTCAGCAAACAAAATGATATCATCTGCAAAGCAAACATGCGATAAACGCGGTCCACTCTGAGAAATCTTAATCGATTTCCACTCCCCGTTGCTAACCGCCCGATCAATTAGGTGACATAGTCTTTCCAGGCACAAGACAAACAGGTAAGGAGAGAGGGGATCTCCTTGTCTTAGCCCTCTGGATGGTGTAAACGCTTCCGTCTTCTCCCCATTCAGAAGTAAACGCATGGCCGGATTCTTCACACATTCCATAATACGCTGCGACCACTGAGGAGAGAAACCTGCTGCCCCCAACGTCTCCTCGAGAAAATCCCAGCGAATGCGGTCATATGCCTTCTCAAGATCCTATTTTAATAGCATCCAGCCTTTCCGGCCCTTCTTCCGTCTCATGGAATGCACAGCCTCCTGGACTATTACAATGTTATCGATACTTAGCCTCCCGGGAATGAAACTCGATTGAGCCGGTCCTATCAACTTCGAAATCACACTCTTCATCCTCATAACCATCATTTTTGTAATGATCTTGAACAGTACATTACACAAACTCACCGGCCGAAATTGATGAATCCTCTCTGGTTTCCCAACCTTTGGCAACAAGACGATAAGTGCGTCATTCGCCTCCGCGGGTAACACGCCTGTCTCAAAAAACTGTAGCACAAACCGGACAACCGAGTCTCCAACCGTATCCCAATTATGTTGGTAGAAAACCGGC